GTATATATTATGGCTCTTTGTCTTTTAAAATAATTTATTCCATATTATCTCTTCACATTATAGAGACTGAGCCTGAATTCATTCTCATCTGCAGAGCTTTGTTTTATTTTTGTCTTGCTGGTGGGAAGCTCTTTGATTTATGACCATGAAGTAATTTAAAGGAGAGCATGTTTGCCTACATCCTGGCCAAAAAAAAAAAAAAAGATCTAGTGCTCTGTCATAATGGCTAATTTCTTCATCAGAATATTTACTGGTGAATATTTTCCTAAAGAAAAATAACATTTTACAGTTTTCAGGTTTGCACCTACTTAAAAAAAGCTCCTTTAAAAAAACATTTTGTAACCTTAAACTGCATATCCACATACTGACACATCACTGAAACCCATGATGTCCTCTGTGCATGACACACAGCTGTTCAGTGTTTTTCTGTTTTAACAGTTTCTATACAATTCTGTTCAGGACTTAAGAAGGCATTTGAGTAAAAAATACAACATCTTGATAAAATTATTGATTCTAGTGGAACAAGGTTGATCAAAGCCTTTTATGAATGTTTGTGGTTTTAATAGAGAACTGAGGGATGTAAACAGTTTGAGTTTATCTTTCTAACCTGCTGCCAGAATCAGCTGAAATGAGTTGATCTGCTTGTGTTTCTGTTTAAAAGGTGAACCTATATTCATCTTTGTGTGTACCTGTTGGAATGTGTGACCTTACAGATGTGTGTGTGTGTGTGTGTGCAGTGTGTGAGCGTGTGAACCAGAGTTTCTGTGTGACTGAAGACAGCATATGGACAGTGCCCTCCTTCCTGTTCGGGAGGGGAACGGCATAGCTCTTCTGTGAACCACAGCTCCGACCTTTGACCCCCTGAGATCACACAAAGAAAAGCGAAAACGCAGCCACACACACACACCCAGATACTTACATATAGATATACGTCCACTCCCAGCCGGCCAGCTGTCCTCGCTGGCTGCGTGTCCCACACAGAGACGCAGAGAGCACCACGATTGTTTTCTTTCCTCTCTGAGACGGACTCAGGAACCCACGTGTCGCCCAGCAGGGGAAACGAAACGCTCTGCAGCAGAACGGGTGATGTCACAGACACGACAATTTCAAAACATTGTTTTTGAAATTTCGAAAAACGTCTATTTTTGTTTAAAGTTTGCTTTCATTCTTTGTGTTACATAAGTTATTTTGCAGCGTTTCGGTTTTCATACAACTTCTTTCTCCAGTATCTTCTAGGTTTGTGCAGAACTGACGTATGAAGACACACACACATGACTTTATATCAAGAGTTCTGATCAGACACACGCCAACGTCTAATGATTGTYAAAGCATCGCTCCACCAATAAAACCTTCGCAGGAACACTGAGGCCGGTCCACTCTAAGGGCCTCACAACTCTCAGACCAGGGCTCATCAACCTTTACAATCAAATCAGACTTTTCTGCTCTTTGGTTCACTGAGAAAATGTGTCCAGAGCTGCAAAACGTGCTACAACTGTGATAATCAACTGGTGCTCCGTGGGCCACTTTGAGCCTTTTTGAGTGGGGCCCATGTGATGTTATAAATCTAAGAGTGTAGAGATAATTTTAATGTTTATTTATTATTTTTACACTTTARGACAAAATAAAAGACCATATTCAAATTTAATTTAAAAAATATAACTGTGCAGGCATATTTATACTTACTCTTATCTAGTCTTAAAGGTCTTTAAAGGTAACCCTGATGGATTTGAGAGAAAGATCCTCTAAGGCTGGAAGTTGGATTATTGCAGTAACAGGCTACTAGCATGATCTAATCAACGTGTTTCACTCTTTGTTGACAAGAAAACTGCTAAAGCTAGCAGTTTGTTTTGTCCGAAGCTTTGAAGAGCCACTGCAGAGGGACCAAAGTGCCACATGTGGCCCCTGAGCTGCAGGGTTCAGGCCCCTGGCTTGGACCATAATAAACAGACACCTGTGATTTGGTTTAAATCTATCTTTTTAAAATGGTCAACCATTTATAAAAACACCAAAGTTGACCACATTTAATACCTGTGAAACATGAAAATTGCATCTTTTCTGTCGTAAAAATTCAAAAACTTCAAGATGGAAATAAATGTCTTCCAGGAAAAATACACAGCATCTTGTAGAAAATCTCTTTTGACTGTAAAAGTGATCTCCAACTGGAGAGAGGGTTTTTTTTTATTCTACCAAGAAAAAACAGAAACCTCCACGTGAAAGGTGTACCCTTATACAGTATCAAGAGATTTGATTTTTTTTCTCTGAAGATTAAGTATTTGAATTTTTTCTGATGCAAAAGGCTTCGGGTAAATCAACTTAAATTATCTTTTTAATTTTTTGTGRATACATAGTTAATTTTCTAGTTTTTACTATGTTATTTGCATTTGAGAACTGTTCATGGGGAAAAAATATGCACTATAACCTTTGTCAGATACACATCATGCTCCACAGATTATATGCTACATTTTRGCATAAAGTCACAGTTTGATCAAACAGAACGGATTCACCACAATCAAAATTCACTTTTAAAGAYGTGTGTAGAAATGTTTGAAGCAGGAAGGAGGAAGTTTGTAATTTATTCATTTCAGGACAAGTTCATTTTAAAAACCTGTGCTAAAGATGCTCAGTCGTTATAAATAAACCATCACATTATGCTTTAGTTTTGTCAACCTGTTCAGACCCGGCCAGCTGCAGGGTTSTCAGCAGGAAAAGAAAATCCAGCCTGGATTTGTCCTGCAGCCCCCCGGATCCTTTAGACCTGGTCTTCCAGATGTTCCTGATACTGTCCCGTCCCCATCTGTAGGAACAGAGTCAACGATCAGCGCATGCAGTGAATAGTGGCAACAATCTGAGGACAAAAGAGAATAAAGAGAACAGAGGAGAAGAGATAATAGTGAGGTGAGAGGAGAGGAGAAGAAAAGAGGTAAGGAGGAGCAAAGGAGCAGCTGTCAGGTGTCAGGAGTCACAAAGGACCATCTGTCCATCCAGTGCCATCGCTACACACACACACACACACACACACACACACACACACACACACACACGGTCCTTTACACTTTATTCCTCAATACTTCAAAGAACGGCTCTCATTTTTTAAAATTTTATTGATTTCATTCAAAAATAAAAGTGATTCTGCAGCTCGGTTATTTCTTGTTTGCTTCATCTTGTGTGATTTATGACTTTCAGATATGGAGGGAACATTCAGGTCTTCACCCTGGGCAGAGTCCCACCTCAGACCAGAGCCAGTCTGGGACGGGCCAGCGGGGTGACAAACAGGTAAACCTTGACTGTTTGTGTGTGGCACATCGCTCTTTGTCTGAACTGAAGTGCTTCTGCCGGAAACACACACACACACACTGTGCTGACCCCTGACCTTTCACCTCATACAATATCTCTCCGGGGACTTTTCAAGAGGGCCAGGAGCGCTGGGACGACACATGTTAAATACTTCACACAYGAAGCAGCCATGCATGTTTGGGTGGTGGGACTGAAGAGACTATCTGGTCCCCTCATGAAGACACCTGAACACACGTTTCAATAATGACCGCCTCTTACCTGCTCCCACAAGAACTCCTGGTTGCAGGTTAACACGCAGGAGAGCGTGAATGAAATCCAGTGRTAAAACTTGATTTAAGGAGCTGCAGGGACAGAGCTCTGCTGAATGTTGTTCTTTCCCAGCAGRAGGGAGGCAGAGCGGACCAGGACTCATTCACAATCCCACTGTTTAAAACATTAAGACTTGGACCACCTCAGAAYGTGGCCTGAGTGATCCGATGACCAGGTCATAATGTGGGACTCAGTGTGTGTTCACACCTGTTTTAAAAGTTGCCCGCTTTTAGCAAAATWTAGATATTTTTAGGGTTATAACTCAGGACTCATTGATCTCATGATGCTCTGCTTGCCTATATTTTAGTTTTACAAAGTACTTCAAGATTCTGTCCATCCATTATCCTTACCTGCTTTTTCCTTTAGGGTCACTGTGTGAGGGGCGGGGTACCCCCTGCACAGGACCACCACAGAGACAACCCCTCACTCTCTCACTCACACCTAGGGACAATTTAGAGATATCAGTTAGTACAACAGGCATGTATTTGGCTGTGTTTTATAAAGTACCACAAAGTGATGCATGAGTACCAGTA